CGGCGCGAACAGGCGACGACGGCCGCCGCTGCCGCACGGCGCTTCAACGACGACGTCGACGTCGTCGCGCCCCCGCCCGCGCGGAACGCGAAGCTTCGACGCGAGGCGGCGCGCGCGCCCGGGGCGACGCCCTTCGGCCGCCTTTCGAGAGCGCGACGGAGGGACATCGCTCGTCCGAACCTCAGCCGACGCGCCCTCGATGAGGCCGAGCTCGAGCGTCGCGACGTTTGGCCTTGGCGTACCGCTCCGTCTCGACGCAGGTTCCCGCACCGCGTCGACGCGACGACCGTCGGCGCGACCCGGCGTCGACCCCCCCCCCCCGCGGCCGCGCGCGCGCCGGCACGACGCGCGAGCGCCGCGGCAGGCGACATCTTCGACGATGACTTCTGGGCCGGTGTCGACCTCGTCTTTACGGCGCTCGACAGCGTCGAGGCGCGGCTCTTCGTCGACGGCATCTGCGTCGCGCGAACCTTGCCCCTCGTCGACTGCGGGACCCTCGGCGCCGCCGGGTCCGTGCAGCCGGCCGTGCCGTGCGCACCCGGCGCCGACGCGGGCCGACGCCGCAACCCGGCCCCGCGGTCGCCGTGGGGCGCGCCGCCGCCCGCGCGGGGCGCGACCGCGCGCGGGGCCTGGGGCGTCGGGCACCCCGCGTCGCCCAGGCACGTGACGGAGAGCTACGGCGCGACGGCTGACCCGGGCGCGGCCGGCGGCGCCGAGGACCTCGTCCCCGTCTGCACGCTCAAGCATCACCCGTACAAGGCCGGCCGCGGCGCCCGAGACGCGCGCGCCCACGCCGCTCCGACTCGAGCACGCCGCGATCGATCGTCGGGAGACACGCGTCCACGCTTCAAGAACGCCCAGAAAGATGGATGATCGCTCGTGTACGGACGAGCGGAAACGAGCGGAACAGAACCGGGGCGGGAACTCGCAAAGTCAGGAAGTGCCCACCCCGATGCTCCCCAGGTCGAGCACGTCGTCCTTTGGGCCCGCGACGCGTGCGATACCGGCGCCGGATGCGCGCGCCGCGGCCGCGGCTCCGGCGGGCGGCGGTCGCTATCGAGCGCGCGCCGGCCCAAGGCGGCGCGCGCGGCGCAGGTTCCAGGACCTCTTCTTCGACCGCCCACGATGTCTCGCGGACGCGCTCGCCGCCGCGCGCGCGCCCGGCGGCCTCCGCGCGTGGGCCCGGCGCCTCGCCGCGGAAACGCGCGGCGGCGACAGCGCCGCCGCCGCCGCTTGCGCGCGCGCGGCTGACGACGCCGCGGCGCTCGCGGCGAGCCTCGGCGGCGGCGGCGGCGGCGACGACTGCCAGGGCTTCGCCGGCGCGCTCTACGGCGCGTTCTTTGCCGACGCGGCGGCCGCGCTCCTCGAGGCGCACCCTCCGGGCGCGCTCGACGGCGACGGCCGGCCCTTCTGGGCGGGGACGCGCCTCCCGCCGACGCCTGCGGCGGCCCTCTTCGACGCGACCGACGAGTCGGACCCGGCCCCGGCCTTCCTCGACGCGACGGCGGCGCTTCGCCGCACGAGCCTCGGCCTTGCCGCGCCGGCGCGCGCGGCCGCGGCCGCGACCGCGGCCGCCGCCGCGGCTCGCGGTTTCCGCGGCCGCGGCGCGGCCGCGGCCGCCCCCGCGCGCCTCTCGGACGCCGTCGCGCGC